GCCGGACTGGTGGTTCCCAAACTGTGGTCCCTGAGCTTAATTCAGGTGGTTTGGGGCATGTCTGCGAAGAACACTTTGACTTCTGTACAGTCCTGTTAAGTTCAGATGGTAATACAATAACATACAATATAAGAATTAAAAGAAGCAAAAAGATACAGTCGTACCTTGGTTGTCGAATGCCCTGGAACTTGTACATTTTGGCTCCCAGACAATAAAAAACCGAGAGTGAGTGTTCCTGTTTTCGAACAATTTTCGGGAGCTGAAGGTCCGGTGTGGTTTCCGCAGCTTCCGATTGGCTGCAGGGCGCTCCTGTGGCCAATCGAAAGCCACGTCTTGGTTTTTGAACAGTTCTGGAAGTCGAATGGACTCCTGAAACGCATTCTGTTCGAGAACCAAGGTATGACTGTACTGTCAAAATAATTCAGCATCCAGGATTCACAATTGCTACAGACAGACAGGCGGTGGGGAATATTAAGTGGTCCATCAAGACCCTCAGCAATTTCCAAGTGGTCCATGGGGAAAAAATTGGGGAACCACCTGTGCACTCTGGATTCTGCTTCTGCGAAGGATTTCAGGCTAGGAAAGACCTCTGCCTGAAACCTTGGAGCTTTCCAGTTGCTATTCTGGGCTAGTTCCTAGTCTTGTAAGCTTGACTTTGATAAGATCCCCCTGTTCTTATAAAATGCCAAGTGTAGCAAGGGGCTTAAAGAGAACAGTCTCAGAGACTGTTCTCCACCTCTAAAACTCTTTTCATCCTCCAAGCCTTTTCTGGAAGCAAAGTACAGTGGAACCTCGGTTCTCGAACATCTCCGTTGACGAACAATTTGGAAAACCCAGAAGTAATTGCTTCCGTTTTCGAACGCGCCTAGGATCTTGAATGGCTTTCCGAGGCGCGTTTCTCCATGTTTTCAATGGATTTTGCCAACTGTCCTTTGATCCTCAGGTTTCGAACATTTTGGTTTTTTTTTTTTTTGAAAATAATATTTATTACTTTTCCAACAATTTAAACACTACAAAAAAGGAACAATACAATACAATATAAAAACACTACATAACACTAACACATTAAACTAACAAAACAAAACAAAAACAGTTTAAAACACATCAAATAATTTCAATATCTTATCTTTCATTCACTTATTTCAACGACCTCCTCACACCTCCCTTTTCGTATTCCACTTCTGTTAATTGTTTCAGCAATTCCTTTCCATCTTCCTCTGTTTTCTATCCTATAATTATCTTAACACATTCTAACCTTATTTTTTCCTTTAATATTCTATTAATCTATTTATACTTAATTCCTTATAACATTTCTACTAAAGCCATGTAACTTCATTCCAACATTCTTCTAACATTCAGGTTTCGAACATTTCGGAAGTCGAACGGTCTTCCAGAACGGATTACGTTTGAAAACTGAGGTTCCACTGTATATATAATGGCTGCCTTTCAGTGTATTTTTAGGATGCTTTTCATTTCAGTAGTTTTACATAGTTCATCCGCGCCATGGGCCCAAGTAATGAAGGGAGATTTCAAAACGATGCTTAAAATAGTGGGAAGAGCTCTGTGGCCTTTTGCAGCTGGGCGTTTCCAGCTGAGAGCCTGACCTCTTTTCAATACAGCTAGCTAATTCGGCATGGTTACCCAACAGCAGAAGCCCTGCCCAGGCTTCGCTAGTACCTCTTGAGTCTGACCTCACTGAACTAGCAGTAGGGGAAGTACTGAACCACCCCTACCAGTCTTGTTTCACCCAGGGCAATTGCCCGTGATGGCAGGCTCTCACAATTCAACATGAAAAAACTGCATTGTTGGCATCTGTCTGTCTCAAGAGACAATGGAGTGCTCCACTGGAGGTGAAGTCAAACCACTGCATTAGCAGCATTGAAGTGTCCTCCATGGGGCACAGGCCTGGGCAGTGTGGATGGAGGTCCTGAGCTGCCCAGATGGCAAGACCCCACTCTGGCCTCACTGATGTGGTTTGAAGGAAAACAGAGCAATACGCTTGGCACCAGCTTAGCTGCAGGAGTTGCGTACAACTGCCTTAGGGACTCCAGATTTGTGTAGGGTCTACTCCTTAGCCTCTTCTCTTCTCCCAAAGATAACCTGCAAGGCAGTGGAAGTTTAGGATTAGAGTTTTCCTTTCTCCTAGATGGGTTGATAAGACCCATCTTCTCCTCATTTCCCTCTGCAGCACGTTCAGAAATCACTTTCTTGACCATTGGACCCATTCCCAGGGTGTGGCTGCTGTCACAGCTTCTAGGAGCCACAGGTGAGAGCTGAGTGCAGGGTAGGGACTCAGGGTGGACAAACTACCCCAGAAGGGGCATGACATATTCCCCACCAGAGGAACTACCGTCCCCTAACACCCCCCACACTACAAAAGTAGTCCTAAACAGTAAATAAAACATCATAACAACCAAACTGAACAATTTCCGCACAACTCACAATAAAGACACAAAAACAACAATAGCGGCAACCCCTACCCCCAGACAAAACCCGCAAACACCCCAGCAACTGGTGGGAAGTGAGAAAAATAGACGCCCCTAAGCAATACAGACTGCAGATCAATCCACTCAGCATAATTTCTATATCCTTTGCTCTTTAGGTTCAGTTCTTTTTCTGGACCTTGGAGGAGTTGGTAGACCCTTGAGTTATTTACAGCTGCAGTTAATCTCAAGCAGACATATACCGTATTTTTTGCACCATAACACTCACTTTTTTCCTCCTAGAAAGTAAGGGGAAATGTCTGTGCGTGTTATGGAGCGAATGCCTACGGATGGCGGGGGGATCTGCTGCAGTCGTGAGCAGAGGATCCATGGTTCCCCTCACTTCCCTCCTCTGTGGCTTGCTTTGAAACAGCAAAGCGGGAGAAGAGCCGCTGAGTGGGGGGGAGGAGAGGGACAGAGAGCCTGCTTGCTTTAAAGGAGCAAAGCGGGAGAGGAGAGGAGCCTTCTCCTCTTATACCCCTCTTCTGCATTATTAACAGCATCCTTCTCCACCCACCCCATGCGTGTTCCTTGTCCCTTGAGTGCTTTTCCTTCCCTCCCCACTTAAAACGTGATTACAAAGCACGGATCCACATGGATCCTCAGGATTTTGCACTGGGTCACCCCAAATTCACCATCAGATCACATAGCATGTCCATGGCTACAGCTTGCACCAAAAAAATCACGCACCCACTGTTGCCTGGGGGCGCAGTGGTGCAAAAACGTGGTTACAAAGCATGGCTCCACATGGATCCTCAAGATTTTTGCATTGGGCTACCCCAAACTCACCGTCAGATTAGATGTCTGTGGCCACAGCATGAACCACAAAAATCATACATCCACTGTTTCGTTTAGAATATTATTTTTTCTTGTTTTCCTCCTCTAAAAACTATGTGTGTGTTATGGTTGGGTGTGTGTTATAGAGCGAAAAATACGGTAGTCCTCCGTACTGTGGCACACATGAATCTGATGGATTTGGGAGACTTGCTGACCTTACATGGTTGATGCTGTGGGTTTCGCTCTGTTCTGCTGTTGTTTCATTATAATTTGTCGGTGTGGAGTATCAGCCCTGCAGCTGGCGGGGGAAGCGGAGATTCGTTAACCTCCAACTCAGTCACAGGGTAAGACATTCGTGCAACTTAACATTTAAATTTTGTGGCCTGCTTTTTTAATTATTTCTAAAGCACCCCCCAAATTCACAAAATGCAACCGTTTAATTATAAAACCGTGCAATTAAAATTAAAACCACAAAACTCATGGAGCCGGGTGGAGAATATAGGTGGAAGCGGGCCAGAGAAGTAGAGAACAGGTTGGGAAACAATTTGAAAATGCTGAACTGAACAAAAACAAAGCAGGAACTGGCCATGTGATGGGGGAAGACGCATGGCTAACTGGCTCTGCAGATTTCCTTACGCCAGCTAGTTTCTTACATGCTCATAATAGGGGTTTTTTTGGAGGTTGTGTGTGATGGATCAGTGAAGTTGCTGTGGAAACAAGCATGCAATGAACACCTTTTCCACCGTCATCCCAAAGCAGAAGAGTTATGAGACCTACCTTACCTTGGACAAATTTGTGATGCTTTAGTACATATATTTGCTCATTTAGTTCTTCTGGGTGTATTGTTACTTGTGAGTTGCCTAGAGAGAACTTCTTTCTATACAATCAAGGGATTCCAGGTTGACTCAGCCCTCATCTCCTTTCTGAGTTGTAGGTCACCTGTTTTCTCTCAATGAAACATTGAGGTTTTTTCTTTGTGAAAGGACCACTTTGTTTCCTGTGCACACGATTGTGAGTCTCAATATGGCAGGAAGGTGTGCGGTGAGAGCCCTGGTCGCAGCAGAGGTTTGCAACCCTTGCTGAACTATCCATCGCCCCCAACTCAGCCCTCACATCTAGTATATATTTTGGAAAGGAACAAGTTTTCATCTGCTTGGATGTAATCAGATGCCATTTTGAATCAAGATGGCAAAAGAACGGATCTGCCAAAATTTCCCTTATTCTAACCCCTGGTTTCAAAACTGAACTGATACTTTGGTTTCTTAGGATTTCTGGGCAGTGCCAAGTATGTGGCTGTTAGCGTCCAGACAAATCTCCACATGAAGGCAACAAAGGGATGCTTATCTCACTGTGCCTTGTGCATCGCTCCTAATAGGCGATGCCTCTTGAGCAGCCTGTCCAGCTCAGGTTGTAAATCTATAACACAAATGGTCCGTTCTACAACTCCCATGAGTCTACCTGCCCTAACTCAGGACCAGAGTCGTGGTGGCAGCAGGTCTGATCTTTCACCCCATGTTTTGCCACATCCTGTTATAAATATATATATATATATATATATATATATATATAGCAGTATTTCTTAAACTTTCTTTAACTGCTAGTCTTGAATTATTCTCTTTCTGGGCACAGAGGTCCAGCCGCCGCTCTTGTTTCCTTGCAACTGTGTGAAAATCCCATGAACGCCCGTGACCCTTGAATATGTCGGGCTGCCGTATTAACATCTCTCCATTTATTCAACAGCAACTGCTCCGAGAGATGCAGCAGATGGCCAGTCGCCCTTTTGCGTCCATCAACGTTGCCTTAGAAACGGACGAGGAGCCACCCGACCTCATTGGAGGCAGCGTAAAGGTGAGGGACCACCCTGTAGGAGCACTGTTCCCGTAGTTAATATTCACAGATGCTGTGCTGCTTGACCGGCTTTTGCGAGAGGGAGGCGGAGGAGAGGAGAGGAAGGCAATATTAGAAGTCTAGCCACAAAGAAGCCGTAAACATTCGGAACCCAGCAGGCCTTGTTTTTGATCTAATTTTCTTTCTCCAGGCTGCTCGTTTGCATCTTTCAGGTTACGTTGGTTTAAATAAAAGTTGCAGCTCTTTTTAAAAAGATTTTTTATGCCTTGTAATCAAGAAGGATACAGTTTAATATGCCAGAACAGTTGGTTGGAAATAGCTGTAGGTGCTGCTGAAAAAGCCTTCTTTGCACGGTCTTTCAAAGGACGGGGGGAGGCTAATTGGCTAAGTATTAAGAAAGTCTTTCGGGTACAACTGGTTACAACGGGGGGGGGGTCTACACTCGGCAGCAGGTGATCTGGAAAGCCAGCCTGGCAACAGGTGCAGTGGGCAGAGGGAGTGCCACTGCCAGACAAACTGCTTCTAGCCCCAGCATGCTGTCCTGTGGCTGAGAGTTGGGGAAATAACTTGGATAACTGCCCAGAAACCAAGGAATCTGTTGCATGTTACAACATTGCTGCCTCTGCAACAGGAGGGAGGAGGAAATGTGTGTACAGTGGACACTTGGGTTCTGAACGTGATCCATGCATGAAGAATACAAAGTAAAAGTAAATAATAGAGAGAGAAAAGGTGCTATAATTAAGAGTGAAATGAAATGAATGTGAGTGAGACTGACACTGAGATCCCCTGTATGCACTTAGTATAGCTCACCTGGTAGAGCATAAGACTCTTAATCTCAGGGTCATGGGTTTGAGTCCCACGTCGGGCAAAAGATTCCTGCATTGCAGAGGGTTGGACTAGATGACCCGAGTGGTCCCTTCCGACTCAACAATTCTATGATTTGGAACATAATTCTGCTCATGCACATCCTCTTCATGGATGGGTTCACAGTGCTGCAACCAGTCCAAGCTGCTGGGGGGCCACTCCCTACCTCACTGGAAAGGCAGAGGGATAGGTGGAGAAAGTGGAAATACCACCTTAGGAATGAGTGGTGGTGAGATGGCTCTTCAAATTGACACCCCCCTCTCCAACACCCCCCCCCCCGCTTTGAGGGAAGCATAGCCTGTCAGGAGTTTGGCCTATACTCAAGTAGGACTCTGGCAGAGACACATAGCCGACTGGCATGTTCTCCCCCTCCTGGTCGATCGTTCAGGAGCTTCAAAAGCTTTCTTCTGCCCGAACATCACAGCGACCAATGCCAACCGATACCGGCACACTTAGGGATCCTCAGAGTTTGCGCAGCTTGCGTGTGACAGACCTCAGCAAAACAAAGGACAATAGTCCCACTTCACGGAACACAGGAACACAAACATCCTGTCTCCGTCACTTCCCACTCTGTGGAGTCAAAACATACACCGTCATGTGAAAGACAACAATCCCATGACTGCAACCATGGAGCAGGAATTCTAACATAGCCTTGTTCCCAGGTCCAATGTCTCTGCTGTGGGATAGTATCCACTGCCCTCTGGGTTGTGAACCAGTGACTTCCCTGCCTGATTTGTAGGGGTGCATCATAGCAGAGGCAAGGAGAGTGGGCTTTCTGAGGTGCAGCCAGTTAAGCGTGGGGAAGGGCTTTGGCTCAGTTGATAGAGCAAATGCTCTGCCTTCTAGGGCTGGGCGATGCCAGCTTTTTAACATCCTGATGCATCACCAGCTAAACATCGTGATATAGTGACACATTGCAATGTTGAAGGGGAAGGAGCTGCCGAGGAGTGTGGTGGAGTCTCCGTCTTTGGAGGTCTTTAAGCAGAGGCTTGACAACCATATGTCAGGAGTGCTCTGATGGTGCTTCCTGCTTGGCAGGGGGTTGGACTCGATGGCCCTTGTGGTCTCTTCCAACTCTATGATTCTATGATTCTATGATTTGGCTTTGACCCTGCGTGGCATCGGCGTGAAGCCAAATTGCCTCAGTCAGCTCTCCCTGCAACCAGCACCCAGCACAGAGGGAGAGGCATCGGCACTGGTCCCCTGTGAGGCACTACGGTGAAGCCAAACCGCTGCTGCAGTGCCCGGCGCAGGGAGGAAGGAGGCAGCCGGAGAAGGTAAGGCAAGACGCCAGGTGTCAGGCAAGCCTCACCCACAATGTACTGCCAGGTGAAGGCGCCATTGTGCTCTGGCCCTCAACCCAAGCCTGGACCACGTATCAATGCAAGCACCCCAGGTGCAGTCCCTGGCAGCTCCTGGTAGGGCTGGGAATATTCTCTGGCAGTGGCTCTCCAGATTCTCCGGCAGCTAGTTGGGCCAGGGATCTGCTCCCGCAGCCGTCCTCCACCCTCCCTCTTTGCTTCCTCTCGCCCCTCCTGCTTCTGCCGCCTTGCTCCTCCAGCTCCTCCTGGGAGACGATTTGACAAGCTGCCACTTTTTCGTCTGCGCCCTTTTCTCCCCGAGCCGGGGAGCCGTGAGAACTTGGCATATGTTCGCCATCAATATGGGAACAGACAGCCCTTGTTCTGAATGCGGAGCAGGGTTAGGGAGTTCATGGATGTACAAGCTATCGAAACCCTCTTAACTTTTGTGTATGCATGTGTGAGAGTGTAGAATCTGTGACTTAAACGGAAGTGGCATGACTGCAGGGGGCGCGGGGGTGGTTTGCCCGTCGCTTCTCAGCACGGGAAACAAAAAGGGACCTAATTTGTCTCTCTGCAAGCTGCCCCCTCCCCGCTTCCCTTTCCTTGCTCTGCTTATTTTGTAAGCAGAAGACACTCAGGTGTGCAAGTGCTCATGTAACACCTCTGAGTATAATCCCTGGATGGTGTAGGTCAGGTGCAAATTGCCAATGTGGTTTAGTCGGGACCCTGACCCTATTTCAGGGAGGTGGGGAGAAGGATTGGCCATTTGGGTTGTCTGGCTCAGGTGCCAGAAACTCTTGGGCTGCGCCCGCACAACAGTTTTAATTCCCAGTTATCTGTGTGTAGGGATGGACACACCCACATGGGCTGCGTTATGTGAATATTCTACAAATGGTCACGGGCACCACTTGGTTCGAAAATTAGGCAGATTTGTATCCTACCCCAATTTCACGCTCTTGGGAATTGCAAGGAGAGGAGCAGCTTCCACAATCACGTTCCTGGCTAATTTTTACACAGTCCTTTTATGCCAATGTGCAAAGGTGTGCCCCAGTGGGCACTGTGAGGCAGAGGGGAGACCAGAGCCTTATTTGCTGCATTGCAAGAACAGCAGTCAAGGAAGAGGATCTGCTCCGCCCCCTTCATGCCAAAGGGGAGAATCTCTGGGATGCATCCCTTCTGGACAAGTGGCCAAGGGAGCCACCCACTCCCCACCTGCTCCTTTAGCAGCTCTGTGGCCTATTGCTGCGGCTGGTGGGAATTGTGGCCCTCAGATATTTGGGGCAGCATCCCCACCCTGCCTCTGGACTAACAGATTGGGGGGAAAGGAACTTGGTTCCTCCCCAGTGTTGCCAGTTCTTCTCAGCAGGCCTCCCACCCCCAGATTGCTCCTTGCTTCCTTGCCACCCAGTTGTTCTAGCAGGGCTGGATCCTGTGGGGAACCGGAGTTTCGGAGCACCCCAGAGCTTTTTCTGCATGGAGATGGTGGCTGTGCAGGCAAACGCCACGTGCGAATTGGCCCTCGACTGCTTAACTTACTAGCGGCCAAATAAATAGTAGGAAAGGGGTCATTTTAGTCAGCAAGGGTCTCTCACTTTCCTTTTGTGCCTGGCCAACTGGCAGGTCAGATTAAGCTAATTGCATCCTAGGCGAACGTCTTGCAGCTGGACTCATTTTGGAACAGTAGTCTCAATTAGTATATTTCCTGCAGTGCATAAGAAGGAAAAGAGAGAGCGATTTACCCAGTAGGAATGACGTCTTTCTAAGCCAACGCGTGACTAGCAGCCTAAAGGAGTGGTTCCCCCCCTTCCCAACCACCCCCCTCTTTTATATTCCAGCTAGCCGGTGGGCAGCCATTTTGGTTTTGCATCTGGTAGCCCTTTGCTTCACAAGGGCCAGTGTGGCAAGTTGACCCTCTAAGGCTTATCGGCTTGTTTTGTCATTAGATACCCGTGAAATACAGCTCTCTCTTTTTGGCAGAGTTGCTCCGAATCAGATTTAGAGCTGAGCTTTCTTCATCCACTTATTCCGAGAAGAATATTGCTTTGAAGTAGCTTTTATAATCGGCAGGTGTGAATGATCAAAGATTAGCAAAGCTTGTAAGCTGCTTGGCAATTTAACATTCTGTACTGAGGAAATAAAACCAGATTTCCGGCGCAATCTATCTAGTAGCGCATAGGTCCTCATGTAATCTTGGAGCTGGGTATAACCAGGAGCTCACCTGGCAGTATGACCCACTGCTGCAAAACAAGACCCTCCCAATGTCTGTATCTGAGCACCATGCGCTTTTAGCAAAGCCAATGAGGTCCATGGCCTCAGGGCGTGTGGGTAGCAGATCGCTCCAAGTAATCCAAGCGGAGTCAGAAGAGCTTGATTTCCCCCTATGAACACACCTTTGTGGGTCCCTGCCAAAGCTCTCACCCCACCCCACCGAATCCCGCCTCTTCTCTGTCCTGTACTGGCTTTCTGTCCCTGCCCACCAGCCAGTTCAGGTCCTTTCTTTCAGCTGGTCTCTGCCTTCATCAGCTCTCCTCTTCTTCTCATTAATTTTGCTGGGCGCAGCCTCAGCGGCTAATGTTCCTTCTCTCACTTTTGCTCCTTCTCCTGTGTTGATCTCGATGGACCAAAACTAGACGTGACTGTTAAAAAACCCCAAACACACACAAGAGAACATACCATACCAGAGGAATGGTTTTGGGCTAATTAAACCTTTCCCCCTTTTCTCTTCATTCTATTAAAAATTCTACTTTCCCTCAAGCAGATCTTCTCAACCCCCCACCCCATAAAGGAAGAAACAGCAGGGCTTGTAATGTTGCCCCTGAAGAGGGAGGCTGG